TTTAAAGCTGCTTCTTTTCTATAATAAAGTAGGAAAATATAGCAATGTAATAACATGGATTTTAAAACGAAATTATACACTATTAATTAGACTGTGTATCTTTATGCACAATACTCAATTATAAGGAACAGAAATGAGATAAAGATGTATTTCTTTATTTGATCATATCAGTAAATTCAGGAGAATGTTAAGATATTTTGAAAGTCTCCGAAATGTCTTCATTGCTTAGCATTTCACCTACTCATTTTTATTATAAATGCATTAAGTTCACAATTAAATTCACAGATTTACGATACATAATGATGATATTTTTTCATTGTACCAGATATAGTAAACACGCAATATTTTTTGTTATAAAATCACTATAATGATCGCCCGAAGCTATCTCCTTTTACACCAAGCTCACATTGTTTTAATGAAATAGAACATACAACAAAAAATGTCTCAACAGAGAAGTTACCTTCGTATTGCTGGAAATCCTTCAATTTGTAAGCGTTAAAATGTATTCACGATCTCGAAGTAATTTATTCTCAGTTGTAACAAAATGATAAACCGTATGTAAGCAAATGATTATTAAATTCGACCAGAACGAATAAAAATGACCGCATCGTTCTTCCTTCGTGGAAAGTGTACTGCCCCTGGCAGTCGTGTGTCTAGTCGAAGATTACTAATCCTCAACGATGGAAACCTTGCAAGGTCCCCTTGGAATCGAGCCATAAACCGAAGTCTCAAGAATCGATAGTCGCTAAAAATTGATACTGTTGTCTATCCCGTTACTCTCTTGCGTGGCTCGTTCATATTCATTACGTAGGACAAGAAACGTTCCAAACTTGACATGTAATCGCTCGAATTTCTTCGTGTGAAGTGTAAGAGCGCAGAGATTCTCTCATCTGCATGTACATTCCGTCAATTTGTCACGCTACTGAGATTAATCTCAAATTGAGAGAATGCCACTAATAATACAGCTATAAATAAATACACATTACGATTAAATTGTAACATTACATTGTTCTTAGTTTTAGCACTAGCGCGATATTCACGATATTTCGGAATTCTAAAGATACTTGATTATTAAAAAAGATATTAATAGAGATAAAAATATATTTACAATATACAGATATATTTTACTGGAGAATTACAACGAAAATGAAAGAATAAAAGTCGTTTGCTTTCCTAAATTTATTTTCACCAATTTAGAAATAAATCTGATCCTGAAGCGATAACTAATCCTGAAGTGATAGACAGCAATAAACCATTTTTATTTTAATATTCTCTGCGGGAGAGATAATACGTTTCCAATAGTTCATAAATGTCACACGGGAGAAGCCTTCTAAAGTCTACTAATTCTATAACTGTATGCAAGTATGTATTCCTTACCAATTATTTTTAGTTACAGCAACATGCGCAAACAGTGACAACAGCATGGCATTATTTGTTTCCTACTTGTATCTTCGAACAGGTTTGTAATCGCAAGATTGGAAGCAGGTCAAACAAGTAAAAATGATACGCGATAGACACAGAGTAACGAAAAGTGTACGACCGTGGTGAATTTTAGTATAGTTACCATACAATGGCTAGTGCACCAATTTGATCGCGATATGATTTTTGTAATCTACAATAATTACATCAATGAACGTATTTATTGGTATTAGTTGCAGGTTCATGTAGTTTTCTTATAACAACTTGCAGTCATAGGGATAGATATTTTTATAAAATGCTAAGGCACACACACACACAACGAGAAGCTGATTCTACAAATAACTCGACGAAATGGTTCCATTGGCTAAGATATTTTTGAGTTTAGTTCCTGGCGAAAATGTAATCGCCGAGTTTCGCATCACTTTGTGTATGGGCGTTGTATTTGTTTAACAATGCCAGAGACAATGCGCAAAAATGCTATAAAATTATTTGTGAAACTTAAAATTAGTATTGTTTCGTTTTCATTAAGGGAATAGTTCTATTCTTCTGAAAATATTAAGGGAAAGCACAATTCTGATAGTAGAAATACTGATTATGAGTGCGAAAATTAACAAATAATTCATCAAAATAACTGTTTATTGATATTATTTTGCGCGATTATTGCTACTTCAAATCTTTGAAAAATATTCTTCTAAAGAAGTAAAATATTATCAGTTGCTTCTATCGGTGCATGAAATATTAATATTCGGACAACGGGCCTCGGGTCTATTTGGACATAGAGTATATTGTTAATTGACAAATTTCTGACAATTTATTTAGATTTTCGTATGTTTTATTAAGGTCCATAAAAAAGTAACGTGTCTAGTACGTTAAAGTATTTTGTGAAATTTATGAATATTTACTGATTTATTTGATAAATGAAACTATAATTGCTCCTTAAGCATACTAATTGCAAGTTATAGTTTTATGAAAAAGGTCCGCCATTCTAGTGTTAAATGTTCTAAAGTAACCGGTGTTGAGATTCCAACAGCCTCGAGCATCAACACACACATTCCCAATACTGACAATTTGCAATTCAGTTGGATGGAGAAGAACATTACTTAATTCAGTCCTATCTTCGAATAACGCACTATGCTCCTGCTATTGGGCTAGATTTCAAGAAACGGCGAGATGGTAGTGGTGTATACTCTATATATACTACATACACATGTATAACGATCAAATCGTTGCCAAAACTTTATCAACCGTTTCCGAGAAATCAATTTGCTTGCGGCAATGGCCCCATTAAACTTTTGTTCTTCTATTCCAATCCCCGTTAATGTCGAAACGAACTTGCCATTCAATTTTGTCTTACAGCCGGTTTACCAGCAACTTTTTTTTATGTAGCTCCATTAAATTTAAGAGTATTAATTCAACTTCTAATATCACGACTGTTAATTTGTCTGCATTCTGTACATCATAAACAAGTACACAAATTTCAGTTCACGTGTCGCAACAATTGTAATATTACACCATAGTTTACGATTCGTTCTCGATGAGCGTTACTCGAAAATATAATCAATTTCTGCGCCGAAGACAATTGAACAGAATTAACATCATGAACAACCATGAAGTAACTGAAAAAAATTACGAAGTATGATTTTAACTTATACGCTTTTTAGACTAATTTAATCTAACAATACTTAGCTTCCAGAACGTATTAACGATGTAAAAGCACTAATTTCTTTGCTGAAGGAAGATACTAAAAATATGTTTCCTATTGATACACGATTCTTCAAAGTTTGTTTCTTTGTAAGATTATCTTTTTTTATTATACCACCCCTTTCAACACAACCAATTTATGAAGAAACCAAAATGCAATCGTTTCTGAATAAAAAGATAAACCATGTAACTATAGAGAAAAGCTTACTATTAGGACTTTTTCTTGCATTTGGATAATTGACCTTTGTAACATCACAGATTATATATATAAAAGCAGATAGTCTTTACAATTATTTTAATATCTTCTCTCAAACAAAAATCATTTACCCTACCCCTCTCTCCTCTTTATGTCTATGGTACAATAAAAATTAATTGTAATCTGAATAAATGCAGTTTTATAATTTATGTAGTCGCTCCTATTATTTGCTTGCTCATTCTGATATCAAACATTTATAGTGCATAGCGACACGTGCATCTGGGCTTCCCGATAAAGATACCGAATCGAATCGGTGGACAGTGTTAGATTAGAAGTTCCCATTCGTAAGATACTCTCTTACGAAAATAAAAAGGTGAAAACCTAGAATGCCGGTTAGTATGTAGGTAACCGTCTCGCTGCTGACGATAACTTATTTCCTAACCTCGAGTACTCATCCCTTCCGAACATTTTAATTACCAGAAACCGTTTCTAGACGGTCTCACTTGTTTCCACGGTTGATTGACTGTGCAAGAAAGACGGAGTGATCCTTGCTCATATTTCAAGACCGTTCGTAATGCAACGAATGAATCATTGGGTGAATCACGCGTTAATGAAAATTCAAATTTTTATACTTTCAATGAGACGGAACATAGCTTGCACTTCATTCACAATTGAATGAGTTAGAGTCATAGTGATGTAAGTCACATTTTCCTTATTGTGAGAAGCAAGCAGTGTTATTGTTTACTAACGCGTGTATCGTTTACTAACCGAATTTATTGTTAAGATTATTTATAGTTAAATTAATTTATAGTATAATTTATTTCACTTGTTTTTTAACATTTTATACATTTTAACATGTATAGATTACATAAGACATAAGTTTCAAGACATAAGTCAGAATTTTCGAAAAGTGTGATTTACGTCACTATGATTCTTACCCACCCAATTATACAATGAATATCACAATTGTATAATTAACTATCCTCGTCAGTATAGTCTCACTGATTTTATGGTAACACTTTCATGAAGATGCAATAAGAATTAAGAAAATTTTTACAAGAATTTAAAAAAAAGACCTGTTGTGTTATTATTAGACTGTGAATTTTATGCAAAATAAAAACTGTTTGCATTTGTTGCGAAATGCACTTAGGAATTTCTCCGTTTGTTTTATAATTTTAACGAGTCGAAAGTGGTACATTCATATCCTTCAATTAGTTTAAATTGTCTACTGCTTTAAATTGCGCTTATTTCTGTCATAAACGCATAAAATTCAGTAGTTATTATCTTAATAATTGATGACATTTCTATAAATGTGTTTCTTTTTATACTGCACAAAGTAGCCGCCATCTATTCCTCATTTTTATAACTTGATCCTTCCCACTCGAAGCTATTTTAACTTGAGAACTCTAACATTTCATCCGACTTAAAAAATTTTTATTGTACATAAATGATTTTTCTGTGTCATGATATGAAGTTGATCTAAATTTTTAGCTACATATTAAATACAATGCCAATTCTGAGGTAGTACAACGACTATGAAATATGATAAAAAGATTCTTCTAAAACTTTCTTAAAAAATTGTTAAATGTTTCTGACAACACAATTTAAGACTACAAAGCCGAAATGTTTCAAATAAGTTAAGGAAGCTTTACATTTTCAATTATCGCGCAATACAGTAACGAAAGCGCAATGCCGAAAATTTGATTAAGATCATAACTATACTCGGAATTTTTATGTAAAATAAAACTGTTTTTCATCTATTGCAAAAAACAGAAGTCACTTATGAATTTCTAACTGTCTTTGCTAACTTTAATAAATTGAAGATGGTGTATTGGAATTCTTTCAATATTTTAATTTCGCTGCTAGAATTCGCAGTTTAGTCATAAGAGACCCCGTGATACCATGGCAGGATTAATCGTGTAAAAATTGCTTGAAATTATGGCAAGATAACTTTTAGTGGCGTCTAAAAGTCGCCGTTTAGGATCGAAGAGATAACATATCCCTTATCGCGAAATTAGTATAACGGTAAAAATGAACGTAATGGAAAGTTAAATACTAAAACCTTTGTAAATTCCTACTTCGAAAATGAGAAACAATGTATAATGGAGTGAATGTTGATCAATTTACAAATTAATGTGGCACCCAAACTTTTTCGGAATCAGTGAAAGCTGTGTAGAGGGAGTGAACAAAACAAATCACAGAAGAAAAACAAATGCAAGCAATAATCGAGCGAAACTGTTACGGCCCACTTAGTGCTTGCACAGCACACGTTTCGCGACTCAGAAGATCGCGTGATCCTCGACCATTTGTCGCTCACTCTGCCGCGCACCGAATAACAGTCAAGAAATCGCGATTTCATACTCTGTTGCGGATTCTTACATAGATTGCCGCATTTAAGGGATTAAGAGTACCGGTTTCGATGCAACGGTACGATTTATGCAACCGTTCCACGTGAACCATGCATTCCCACAGGACGTAACAAAATACTTATCGTACTTACGACGCAATGTCCATATGGGAAGACGTTAACGATGGGTGCTGCCTGTTTCACACGTGCGCTGGTCG